AGTTTAAAATTCGTTGAGTAAAATGGCTCTTTTACACTGCCGCTGGCTGTAGAAACGGGTCTACTGTTGTTTTAATGCCTTTAATTTTAGCGCTGCTTTTTGATTTTACTGCTATGCGTCAGCCTATGTAGTGGGTCGGCCGTGCAGCTGTGGAGTCCTGCTTTGCCTAGGCAATTAAAATGATGAATATCTGTATTTGCGTGGAAGCCTAAATGAAGTGGTCCCATCATAGTCTTGTGTTCTGTATAAAGTTGGTTTTTAAGCTGTCTGTGCAAACAAATATATAAATGTGTGTAGGATGCCTTTAGGCCAACAAATATATTTTGTGTCGGAGGGAGCAAATATGTTTTGATACAAAAATCTCTTACTTTTTATTCTTCTACTTATACTTTTTATTCAATAAAACGTGCTCTTAAAGTAAGTCAAAGTTTAGCCAATTAATTATTTTGGGTAATGAAAAAGATATTAGTTTAGTAAACGTACTGAAAAATTATATATTATTTTTAAACAAATAAAAAATTATGGCCAAAAATAGCTCTTTAAAGTCTTGAATGGCTGTGTCAAGTGTAAGCTACTTACTTTTTATGGTTTAGAATACATTTTGTGCTTCTTCAAAATTGTAAAACTTTCAATGCCTGAAATTTATGAAAAAGTAATAAAAGCAGATTGTGAAATGCCAATAAGTTCAGGAATACGTCTGCCAACATCTTCTTCTTCTTCTTATTTGGCGCTGTAACCGCCTAAGCGATTTTGGCCGAGTCCAAAACAGCACGCCAGTCATTTCTCTTCTGTGCTAACTGACGCCAATTGAAAATGCCAAGTGAAGCCAAGTCCTTCTCCACCTGATCTTTCCAACGCAGAGGAGGCCTTCCTCTTCCCCTGTTACCAGCATCGCGGCCCGCGTTGAATATTTTCAGAGCAGGAGCGTTTCTGTCCATCCGAACGACATGGCCAAGCCAGCGGAGCCGCTGAATTTTAATTCGCTGCACTATGTCTATATCGTTGTAAAGCTCAAACAGCTCATCGTTAAATCGTCTGCGATATTCGCCATCACCAACGCGTAAAGGTCCGTAAATCTTTCGCAGAATCTTTCTCTCGAAAACTCCAAGAGCCGCCTCATCAGATGCTTTCATTGTCCATGCTTCCGCGCCATACACCAGCACAGGCATGGTGAGTGACTTATAGAGTGTGATCTTTGTACGACGAGAGAGGACTTTACTTCTCAATTGCCTACTCAGCCCAAAGTAGCACTTGTTGGCAAGAGTGATTCTCCGTTGGATTTCAAGGCTGACACTATTATTGGTGTTAATGCTGGTTCCCAAATAAACGAAGTCGTCTACTTTTTCAAACTTGTAACTGTCAACAGTGACGTGGGTGCCAAGACGCGTATGCTCTGACTGTTTGTGTGCTGACAGGAGATACTTCGTTTTGTCCTCGTTCACCACCAGACCCATTCGCTTTGCTTCTCTATCCAATCCCGAGAAGGCAGAACAGACGTAGCCCTTGTTTTTACCGATAATATCGATGTCGTCGGCATACGCCAGCAATTGTACGCTCTTATAAAGTATTGCCAACATATCGCGCCCGATAAACTCATATTTTTGAACGGTAAAAGTGTTTCCTTTATCTTATTCTCTGCGAGACAAGAATTCACAATGGAGTTGCTAAGTAACCCAAATATATTTAGAAGAAATAATTGTTCAGCAATGTCAAAAGTTATTCAGTGATAAATTGCAGATATGCAGCTGAACCTATTTCAGATGAAGGCCCCATGACCCATCTACCCGTCAGGTTAGGTTAGGTAAGGTGGCTAGCATCTGCGTGGCTTCGCAGAGGGCATTTAGGCCCATAGCGTTACCAGATAAAATACGACGACATTAGAGAGCTAATCACTGAGTACCAAGAGCAGTTTCAGTTGAAAAACATCGCACTTCTCGTGGCAAACTGTAACACATTGTGGTACCCTATTTTGGCGGCAGCATTGCCTACTGAGCTATTCAAGTACGCTGGTTATTCTTATACAGAATATAATAAGTTTCCGTAGTGCTCCTTTAAGCATTCCGCTTATCATATTGATGCACTATCCGTTTACCACAATCACTGTGGTGTCTTAGAAGAATAGTTTTTAATCCGTAGAACCACAACAGCGGAAACAGTACACCGCCTAATGGAGTCCCCTGTTTAGGACACCTGGTAACTTCTCTGTTGCCTAACTTAGCATTTACAATCATTGTACGAAGCATGGTTGAGACCCAGGAAGTTCTCAATTCCAGATCCAAGATCCAAAGGGTCAATTTCAAGTCCGACAAGAGCTTAGTCTGTCTACAGTATGCATAATTGAATAAACGAATATTGTTAATCAATTTGTTGATTTTTTTTTGGGATATCCGAAAATACGAATATTAACCGAATATTCGTAAATCCGGATATCCGAATAATTGCACAAACAAATAATAACCGGGTATCCATACTATACGGATTTTATTCGTGTCAACGTATAAACCGCATGGATATCCGGATATTCGAATATGCGGATAGTTCCAACTCTATTTATTGGACATATTGCTTTTAATGTGATTTCCAAAGAAACCACAAGTAATTCAAGGCGTTGCAAACATTTACAAGTAGCAAATCAGAATAGTACTGCAAAGCAAAAATTTTTAGCGAAAAGAGATGAGTAGGTACATAAGTGAAGAAAATTTAAATATAAACATGCGGACGGGCAAGTAGTGAAGTTGAAAAAAATTCTTTTATTTTGTTATGAAAATAAAAGTGGATGCAAACGACAAAAGTAAATTAGAAAAATCTTGCATTTCACAGCTGTAGCATTCATTGAAAGGTCCTGCGGCAGAAGAAAAAATGAAAACTATTTGATTCTTTTCAAAACAAATTTCATTACACTAGCATTTATGGACCACGACTTCGCACAGCTGCTTGAATAATTGTAATAATATGGCTCTAATGTCGCCAGTCATCATAAAGGCCTTGTCGTTCGCTCATTTCTTCAAGTGTTTGCCTTTCAAGACGCTTATGCACTATGCATTCAAAGGGCAGTTGGTGAACGTTTCCGTTCCACTTTTTATTTTCCGCAACTTTCCTCTAACAATTCTACATATAAATATTACTCAGTATGCCACATTTTTACTTTGACTCTTTCCGCTACTCTTATTTTCATTTCATTGCTTGGGTCTGTTAATTAACGCGACGCATTGGCATTGCGGCTGCAGTAAAAGAATGGATGTAATAAACTTTAACGGAAATGACAGAAAGTGGCAATTACTGAATGTGCCGCGGTACTTTGTTGCTAAAGTTGTGTGCAGAAAGAAAAAATAAGTAATTTTTCTGTTGACCAATGCAGATTTTCACATAGAGAAACTTTTAAGATTTGAGACCTGTTCAAGAAGAAACAAGTGAATGACTGTGGCAGCAATTAGTAACCGTAAGTGGCGAGTAAAAATTAAAATTTCATTAGTGTTGACTAAGTTAGTACGGATTGGGTAGCATCGCTTTTCGTTAAAGTATTTACAGTGAAACCCGCTTAAGTAGCCCCCCCCCCCCCCACTTAAGTACCTAACCCGCTTAAGTATTCAACATTTTTGGGCACCGTGAGTATTTTAATGTAATCTGAAGAAGATCCCTCTCGAGGTACTTAAGCGATTTCTTTTAAGTACCCAACCCGTCTAAGTACCTCAAAAAGCTGACATTTTTCGTGAGATACTTAAGCGGGTTTTACTGTACTCTTTAACCCATATTTTCGACCATAAACTTTGGAAGCCCTTTCTCTGGAGTTAGGTTTTATTTTATTTAATGTTTTACAAAATCCAATAAACATACAACTAGCTTTATTGTACAACAAACAATTTACAGAACTTCAAATTTTCACTCCGTAACTTGCATTACACAACGGAACTCTCTGTTCTCGTAGATTTCTGTTTTAAAACAGAACTCTCTGTGCACTTTTATATACCTGCGCCATCCTGTGTTTCTAGTCAGCATATTTATTTTGCAATTTCTGGAAAATTCTTGTTGATGTTCCTCGCTAACGAAGCTTCTACGGTTTTTATCGATCATTCTGTCAATTTCTGGTTGTCGCTTTGAACTTTTATTTGCGTGTTCGCAGTATTCGCCACGCTGCCCTCCGCCTCCAAACGAAGTCTCTGCGCGTGGACCACCTTCATCTTGTTTCCAGGTCGCCCATCGGTCTAGATTCGGTGCAATACGTCATTCAGCCGTTTGATAACCTTCCCAGTTACACTGTATTTTTGAGTGCAAATGTTTCTTACGTTGCAGATTGTATAGAAACATTAAATCTCCTTGTTGGAAACACTATGACCTCATCGCTTTATTATATCATATCTTATCACTCATAATTTGAGTATGTTGTCTCATAAGGCAATGCATTTCTCCCAATTCCTCTTCTAGAAAATGTCGTTGTCGTTTGAAAAAAGAACATACCAGCACATTTAGGCCCATATTTGGGACCGCTGTGGTGTCACAAGGGATCTCATTAAGTGAAAAATTGTTTCCGCTAATTTTTTTACAAAAAATTAAACACAACAAATAAATAAAAAAAAAATGTAGCCCATTCAAGGTTAGCATAATAAATATCAAGTTTGAAGTAGCTACGACTTACCATTGATTTTTGTATTTTTTTTTTTTTTGTTGACGGTGTCAGCCATTTTCTTTTATATTTTGCGCTATCGCCAATGCACTATCGTCTTTTAAACAAAGAAAAACTTCTATTTTTCAAATTATTTGTACTAAAGCTCCCGTTACATCACATTTTTTTGTTTGAAACAACTGCAGTAAATCTCAGGCTCCTATTTAGTAGCAACTGTAATTTTTCGGTTCTCTTTCTAATAACACAAGAAATACAAGGTAACGCAACTTTCTCTAACTTTATATAAGTACATAACTATAATACTAACACACTGCCGACTACGCCCAAAAAAAGTTTGTAATACAATTTTAACTTTATTGTGCTTCTTTTCTATTTCAAGGACACTTAAACAAATTGGAAGTGAAAACGTTGCACGTAAAACACAATAGAAGTGACATACTGCTGCTGCTGTTCGTCTTTTTTTTATTTTGGAAAAGGCTGCATCGAGCATAGAGCAAAAGTAGAACAAAAGTTTAACAAATTGGTGGAGAACGAACACAATGAACGTGTGCTGCATGAAAAAGACACAATAGATGCAGAAATAGCTGGCGAAAAAAGCGTGTTGCATGCATTTTGCTGAGAGAAGTGAAGAGAGTAAATAGAAACTAGTGTTAGTTGGTAGCTGAAATATGAAAGGCGATTACGGCAACGCTTTTGAAGGCTATTAAAATTATACAAATGCGCGAGAACGAATGAATGTGAAGAGATATAGAAATAGAAACATATAGAAATATACGATAAACAATATCGGTGAATGAGTGCGCGTACTTGTCAAGCTTATTTTTAATAATAAACGCGTGGGAGTCGAAGACTGCGGTTTACGCGTAGTGTGTGGTGGCAGCGTCGACGACGCCACCCACAATTCCTAAAAAAAGTAGTGTTCAAATAAACAGAAAATCACTCGATTGTGCTCTTCTTTCTCTTCCTCTTGCGGCTGGTGAAACGCACGCCTCAAAGTGCATTTATTCCAGCATACCATGTCCTCGATATCGGCGCAGGGCGTGGTCGAACGTGCATCCGCTGAACTCTCGAAACGCATTAACGGTCTTGGCCTGCGTTCGAAACATCATCATGGCAGCGGTTCTAATTCGTCCTCCTCCTCCTCTACTCAATCCTCTTCTTCGTCTAGTGGTGGTAGTGGCAAAACCTCAGTAATGGAACGTGTCACAAATGCGCTCTGTGGCGGTAGTAGCAGCAGCAACAACAATACCAGTAACAACAGCAACAATAGCAATGCAAGCAACAATTCGAACAGCAACCCAACCGCCACACCCGACAAACCTTCACGCGGCGGTGGTGCTAGTGGCACGCACACTCCCACAGGCGGCCTGTCCGCACCCTCAAGTCCCACACTCCCTCACAATGTTGGCGTTGTCGGTACTGGCGGCAACATGCAGCTACTGCAGCAACAGCAGTCGGCGCCACAGGCCCAGCAGCCGTCACATCCGCATCAACATTCGCAGCAGCCATCGCCGCCGCCACCGTCACAACATCCACTGCAAACACAGATTGCCAGCTCGACACTGGTGAATTCCAATTCCAATATGATAGGTGGCCCACCGCCTGTGCTTGGCCATCCACTTGGCGCACCACCAGCGCCCACTGTTAACTCGATCGCCAAGCAAATGAACATCACTATACCCGGCCAGCCGCAGTTCACAACCATGGGCTTAGTGGCGGCTCAAAAATCGGTAGCAAATCAATCTGTGAGTGGTGGCACGCCACTGCAGTTGCGCAAGCAACTGCCCAATCCACATCTACATCATCCATATGCGGGTGGTGGAGTTGGCGGTGTGGGCGGCAGTGTTGCGGGTGTCTTGCCGACGGGCGCTGCTGGCGGCGCTTCAAACGCTTCACAACTGGCCGCTGCCGTTACACAGTCTGCGCTGATTCTGCACAAACACCCGCCTCCCATAACCAGCATTGAGGCGTTGCTGCTCGACGATCGCTTCTTGAATCGCTTTTTCCTTTACTTTTCGTCTTATGAGCGTCGTACGTTGGCTCAGGTTTGCATGAAATGGCGCGACATACTCTATCGCAGTCCGCGTTATTGGTCGGGTCTATTGCCGACATTGCAATGTCGCGAATTGCGTCAAATACCGAGCTGTGATCGTGTGAAGCTGTATAATTCGTTGATACGTCGCGGTTTTCATGCGCTCGCGTTAGTGGGAGCCTCAGATGAGGATGCGCTCGACGTGGTGCACTCATTCCCGTTAGCCTCCAAGCACATACATTCATTGAGTTTACGCTGTTCATCGATTAGCGATCGGGGACTGGAGGCGTTGCTGGATCATCTGCAGGTGAGTGTTGTATATTATTTTATTTTATCAAGAAAACAACAGCAGGGGTCTGCCTCTGTGACTAGGCTTTGCTTGGCACTTCAATAGCTAACTATTTACAGTGTAATAAGTGCCAGTTTTCCAAATTTTCATTTACTGAATAAGAACTTTCTATTAGTAAATCGCCATCAGATTTTATAGGGTAGGGTGGGCTAAACTCGGCGAGAGTCCTTCATGTGACTAATTTAGACTAAGCAAATAAGCGAGTTAAATTCTGTATAATATTTATTGCTCTGCGGTCATTCAAATCATTGAAGGAATAACTGCAAATGGTTTTGGGTCTTCGTGTTGCTGGTGCCAGTCAATGGCAGAGAAGGAGGATGGACTTCTCAAGGATGCCCCCAGTATGGCTATATGTCATCCAATCAGAAAATGTTCGGTAACAACTTCAAGTTAAGTTTTAATATAGATTGATCATCTTTCATTGACCGCGTCTTATCAACATATTTGCCTAAAGGGGATACGTGTCGTGAAATTTGTCCATTTTCAAGCGAAAATCTTAGACGCCACACCCCAATTTTTACGATAGTCCTTGTGCAGGAGTATTAAACCGTTGTAGCTTTTCCGACCATTCAACGATGCTAAATCTTAAATTAAATTTCCTATCCAGTCTTTCAAAATGTTATACCATTTAAGATTAAGCATCGCAGAGATAGAGAACAGTGTTTCCTGGTAAATAACACTACTTAAGATTTTGTGGATTTTATTCCCATACCGCGACTGCTGCTTCAGCAGGAGAGTCTATTTAGCAGTAAGATTAGTCAGAGTTACTAGCCCCAATGGCTATGTAGGTTTTCACTCTATCGCCGTTTCTCGTAATATAATACTCATGCATATGCTTCCTTTTACTTCTTACTCTGTTCCATAGTAGATGTGATACCACTTCCTTTGGAATTTAGATTTTTATACCCGAGCGCACTTGTGCACAAGGGTATTATAACTTTGTTCACATAACGGTTGTTTGTAACAGGCAAAACGAATCGAGATAGATATAGACAAATGTATATATAAATGATCAGAATGAAAAGAGAAATCGATTAAGCGGTGACTGTCTGTCCGTCCATCTGTGCACACGATAACTCGAGCAAAAATTAAGATATCTTAACGAAACTTGGTACGTGTACTTCTTTCGGGAGTAGGACGGATGGTATTGAAAATGGGAAAAATCGGACAATAACCACGCCTCCCTCCCATATAACGGTAATTTTCAGAAATACAAAAACTGCGATATTTTAGTAACTACTGAAGATAATTCACTCAAAATTGATATTTATAATAAATTTTAGACGACAAATAAGAATATTAACATTTTTTTGGAAATGGGCGTAGCCACGCCCACTTATGGTTACATGTGTATATCTTGGTAACCGCTGCATCAATTTATTCCAAACTTGGCACAGTTGTTGGTCCTGGTACAGCATACCAGATGGCCGAAAATTTTCAAAATCGGACAATAACCACGCCCACATCCCATATAACGGTAATTTCGAGAAATACGAAATCCTCGATAAATCAGTAAACATTAAAGCTAATTTATTCAAAATGATGGTTGCAACAATTCTTTGCCAGGAAATACGTTTATGATAAAATTTTGGAAAATGGGCGTGGCACCGCCCACTTATGATCACGTATATGTATCTCGCTAACCGTTCTAGCAATTTGTACCAAACTCGGTATGGTTATTGTGCTTGCCACATAAAAGTAAACCATTGAAAATTGTTGAAATCGGACTAAAATTACGGCCGCTTTTCATATAACGGTAAATTTCAGAAATGCTTGAAATTTCAATATTTTGAAATTTAAGGACGCTAGTTTACTTAAAATTTATACACGCCGGCTTATCATGTAGCGGTAGCTTTCGGAAAGGTGGAAAACATATATTTAATACTTGCGCCGGGTATTTAATGATCGGCTCCGCTCGAACTTAGACTTTCTTACTTGTTTTTTTTTTACAGAGGAGTCTCCCTGATCTGCAGTTATAGTCCGATCCTTGCGGACGTTATTCACGGACGTGTTGTGCAGCCGGTAGCGTCGGACTTACTATTGCATTATTCTAGGTATTCTAGGTAGGTAGGTAGGTATCTAGGCACCAGTAATGGCCTGAAATCGTTGGGTTTGATGTTAAAAGATTTACACGGCAGAGGCTTATAGCCGCTCTATACATTGCTTTTAAAGTTGGAATAATTAAGAGACCATCGAGCCCTGGCTACTATCAGAAATATGGCTAAGGGGAATTACCCGTATTGCGCAAAAAACTGTAGGTTATTCACTACCTTGACTAGGGAGCATTCAGAGAAGTGGGCCTGCATGAGAAGTATATGCATTCCGGAGCAGCTGCTCGTCCATTCGCCTTTTACTTGGAGCAAGTTATTTGGTACGCTGTGTTTGGGCGATTTGGGACTTTCTTCAGGACTCCTCCATTCTGTTTGGTTTCAGTTTTTTCGCGATAATAGAAAACTAATGGTTTTCCAACACAAAAAAAATAAAGGTTCAGGGCCTAGTAACTTGAAGATAACAATAAAGAGATTCCAGGATCATTATAATTTTTCGAGGTGTATTCCAAACTTTAATATTCACTGATATTCCCATACCGACCAATGATCCTATATTCCACATTTTTCGGCATAAGTGTTGCCAACCAAATTTACAGAATTTTCAGCGTACATAAGTTCTTAATACTCTTAATAACCTTAACTATAATAGTTTGCAAATGTATAGAATGTTTCCGTGTTCGATGGTCAACTGAATAAAGTTGAAAGGAACGGGAAAAAATAATTTGAAGAAAATCGTGAAATTCCACAAATTTCTACCTTACCAACGTGACTGCCGCAGTGCTTTGACCTCTTACGAGTCAAAGTATGAAAGTAAAATACTCATGCTTACACATATACAGGTGCCTATAAAGAGGCTTATATTTGCAAGTACTTCATGTGCCTACCGCATTGTGAAGTACATAATTACTTAGTTATTGTTTGTCTGAGCTACCGCTACATATTTGAGTATGTACCATCAACTTGAAATATTTGGCTGCGGACAAGCAATTATACAAGTATGTATATGTAGGTGTGATACTTATAATAATAATAATAGATTGGCGCTTACACATATGTTAGTGTTTGACCGAGCTTCTCCTCCGATTTGTGGCGTGCGCCTTGATGTTGTCACACAAAGCGGAGGGACCTACAGTTTTACGCCGACTCCGAACGGCGATTGTATTTTTATGAGAAGCTGTTTTTCATGGCAGAAATACACTCGGAGGTTTGCCATTGCCTGCCGAGGGACGACCGCTGTTAAGAAAAAACCTTTTTTCTATATTTTTGCGATGTTGCTTTGACCAGGGTTTGAACCCAGGCATTGTGGAGTGGAAGCGCGCACTGCTTACCACTACACCACAGCGGCCGATACTTATACCCATTGGATTAAGTTACCCAGAAAACAATCTCAAAAGTACAATAAAAAATATGTAATTAATGATAAAATCAAATCGCTTAGTTCCATCGTACAGGGTGTGGCTGCAAAGTGAGCTCTATGAGAGGTTTGTGATAAGGGATTGAACCCGTGTCAGTGTGTAAATACTTATGGGACTACATACATGTCAGTCATTCATATCGTCTGTCAAACGACGTCGCGACTGCAGCATCTTTCAAGCTGAGATTTATACCGTAGAGGTGGCAGGTGGTAGTCTTCTCCTATTCTACCAATAAAAGCCCAGCACCTACTTACTTTGAGTACAATAGGCAGAGTGCCATCCGGACTGGGCGATTTAAAGCTGTAAAAAGATTCATTTCATACCATTTCTAAGTTGAATGTAACTACATATATATCTCCTGATTTCTAAGAAAATGAATCTCCAAAAGATCTGAAATAGTCTCAGTGTTTGTCTCCGTGAAGTATCCATCAGGCCTAAAGAGTGGTTAAGTGACGATTTTTATTTATAGAGCATTGCAAAATCATTTTTGTTTTTATTTTTTGGATCAAGAATAATCGTTAAATATGTGTTTAAACTTTTTCGGTCAAATTAAATCGTTATTTTTTTTTATTTTTAATCTTTCAATAATTTTTGACCATTATAAATCGTTTATGATCTGAAAAAATTAAATCTGAAATTATAATATGATCGAAAAAATAAACATCAAAAATAACCATACAAATTTGATTGAAAAAATAAAAATCCAAAAATGAAGATTATTATTGACCGAAAAAATAAAAATTATAAAATAAGTTTTAAATTTGATTGCAGGTTGGGCCCTTCACAATCCATGACCCTGCCTAAAGTGAGGGTAGAGTTCCAATTGCGGGGGTACCACGTGTAGTATAATCCTGAAGTTTATCTATCACATAGTATGGCAGTTTAACCCAACTGTTAGGCTGTAGTTTAGCCAAGCTGACTTTGTATCAGAGGGGGTTCTTCCCACCATCATCCTAATGCACGAACCAGTAGAATTTTGTCGCCTTTTACAACAAGCATGCCTTACTGTCGGAAGAGCTGAAAAAGTGGACTTTTCTTACGTCATCTATCAACTGCTTACTGGGTATTTATATGAATTCAATTTACGTATGTATGTATAATCGGGAATATTCCAACCTCGCGTTCATATAATTGCTTATGGTTTTATTAGTGTGTGTGTGTACGCGCCGCTCTATAGCATGTTGACGCATAATTTAATGGGTCAACATGTTTGGCGGCCTATCAAGCGCTGCTTTGGGCGCGAGGCCCTGCGGCCGACCGCCAAATGCTTAGCTTCATGTCATTAACAAACACAAACAAGATCTCATATATGTATACATTTAGTGTACACATACATACATATTATATACATAGTAGGACAAATTAACAATAAGGTGGTCTTATAGGAGTCCTTTCTTTTGAGCTTTTGAAGATATAGGGCTTTCATCTTCGATTCTACATATACTTTTTTTTTGTTTGAAATCGCCAGAATTTCAAGATTTCCTCAGAAGGA